GGGGGGGGGGGGGGGGGGGGGTAACAGTACCGGGGGCCGCGGCGCGCACCCTCCGAGGCGCGCCGCCCACGTCGTCGTCGTCGTCGTCGTCGTCGTCGTCGTCGTCGTCGTCGTCGTCGTCGTCGTCCAAGCCCACAGTGGCTGTGCACACTACGCGGGCTGTGTACACCACATTGCCTTTGTGCACCAGAACTGCTGCAGAAACGGTATGTGTGTGCATGTGTGTGCACCACGGCGACTGTATGCACCATAACAACCGTGTGCACCACAGCGCCTTGGTACATCACACTGTTTGTGCACACCACGGAGCCTGTGTGCACCACAGCTGCTGTTTCAGCACTCCTTGTGCACCACAGTGCCTGCGTACACCATGAAGCTTGTGTACACCTGAAGGTACCGACGAAGCCAAACTCTGGAAAATCGCTGGGGGCCCGAACGTATCAAATTCAATGTGTGAAATGATTGTGATTCTTTGCTCTTCTGGCACAAGGAAGAGGTTTGGATTATTTAATCGCTTCGCTCATGCCGCCGGCCCTGGAGCCCTCTTTAGGGCCTCTTGGGGGCCTCTTGGGGACCTCTTGGGAGTCTCTTGGGGCTCCTTGGCGGCGTTTTGGAGGCCCCCAGGGCCTCTTGGGGGGCTCTTGGGGGTAGTCGATTGCGGCTCCCCCCTCGGAGGCCACGATCCTCGTGAGGGGTGTCGAAAAATGGCCCTCCCCTGGAGTGCTCTGGGGGCTTCTCCCGGGCTTCTCTCGGGACCTTGCCGGGGTACTTTTCGTCCGGGGGCCCCCAGGGGCCGCTCCGCGCGCGCGAACTAGAAATATTGTTAACAAGTTACCGGAGATCTTAGCACGCCTCTGGCCCGTTGGGCCGGCGAATTTGGGGCCCGCAACGCCCATTGATGTACACAATAGCGACTTCGCACGTCATGGCAACTGCGCGCACCACGGCGCCGGTGAACACCACGCGGCTTGGGGACGCGCGAAGCGTCGTCAGCCGAGGGTGGAAGCAGGAGGAACAGCAGTACCAGCAGTACCAGCAGGAGGAGCAGGAGGAACAGCAGTACCAGCAGGAGGAGCACGATGAATAGCAGTACCAGCAGGAGGAACAGCAGAAGGAGGAGAAGCAGGAGGAACAGCGCGCGCGTGGCAGGAGAAGCAGGAGGAACAGCAGTACCAGCAGGAGGAGCAGGAGAAATTCAAGGAACCCCACGATGGGGTCGACGTCTCGGGGCCCGCGCGCTTTTTCCACGAGCACTGCCAAGATGCACACCATCATCTAACATCATGTACACCTTTACGGCCCCGATGGAGCCAACGTCTGGGAAATCGCTGGGGGCCCGAATGTATCATATTTAATATGTGAGCTAATTGTGACTATTGGTTTTTCTGGCCCGAGGAACACTCGGACATTTTGAGCCCACAGCGAATGTGAAACACAACGCCTATGTGTTCCTTATGGCCTGTGTGCACCACAATGCTTGTGTGCACCACAATGCCCGCGTCCTGTATGCGCAAGGAGGGCAGCGACGAGGAGGTCGAAAATGAAGACGGAGGAGGAGGAGGGAGGAAAAAGTACGAAGAGATGCGTGTGTACATATTAGCCCATAACGCACGTTTACATCATAGCGACTTTGCGCACTACAGCGATTGTATACATCACTGCGCCTGTGTACACCATAGGGCTTGTGATGTGTACATCACAATGTATGCATGTGTAGACCACGGCTGCTGTTGCAACGGCCGTTGTGTGCGCGACAACGCCAGTGTACGCCGCAGATGCTGCGTACACCATAGTTCACGCTCGCGTGCACCACGGCGCCAGTAGTGCCCGCGTGCACCACAGGCCCTAGGCTGCCCAGGATCGCGCCCTGGACCGGTCCGGGGCGCTACCGTTAGGGTGGTGGATGGGGGGGCAGGGGGGTGGTGGGTGTAACATGTGTTATCCCTTGGGTCGACAAACAATTGTCTCTATATGAGTAGCAAAAACAACCAACTGGCCCCAAGAGGCTCCCACGCCCCAGGAGGCTCCCAATATGCCTACAAGAGGCCCCCGAGAAACTTCTCAAGAGATCCCTGGGCCACCGAGAGGCGTCGAATCATATCGCCCCCACCCCCCATGAGATCCGGACGCCATCACTCTGGCCTCAGACAACCCCCGCCCCCCCTCCGGAGTCCCCTGGATTATCCAAGACCGACCCTCAGTTGCCAATGAAGGCCCAAGAGAACCCCAAGAGGGAACCAAAACGGCCCCAAGAGATCCCCAAGACGACCAAGACAGACAAAGACGGTCACGGGTGGCGTCAAGATGGCCCAAAGGACCCCCAGCTTGGCCAAAGGGGGCCCCGAGATGACCCCGAAAACGTACGCACCCAGTAGGCCGAAATCATTGAAAAACATGTTGGTGTCGAAAATACTTGGTATGATCGCCTGTTCGGGTTTTGCAGCTTCCAAGATCCCAGGATCGCCCCAAGATTTCGCAGAAAGAGCCCAGTGGAGGCCCAATGCAGCCCAAGACGGGAATTACATTCTTAGAGGTCCCCAAGAGAGCCCGGCCTGGAGGGGCCCAGCATGGGTCCAAGCCGAAGGAGGCCTTCAGAAGGAGCCCAACGTGGCCCAAGAAATCTCCAAGGAGCCCTAAACGCTCCCGCAGTGGACACAACAAAACAGCTGCCCGCAGAAGTTCCGAGACGGCCCCACGAGAGCCCGGAGAGCCCGAGGCGTTTCTCACGTGGCCCACAGAGGCTTCGAATGCACCCAACAGGGTCCCAGCCGTAGCCACGCTGGATGGTGTGGGATTCGAAGCGGCTCCAAAAGAACGGCACGACTGCCCCGCGCAGGCGGAGAAAGAGGAGCATCGGGGGAGGAGGAGGAACAGAACTTGAAGCACCAGGAGGAGGAGGAGAAGAAGTAAACGGAGAGTTGGGAGGAGGAGGAGGACGACGACGAAGAGGAGGAGGAGGAGGACGACGACGACGAAGAGGAGGAGGAGGAGGAGGAGTAGGAGGAGGAGGAGAAGCCTTCGTTCCTTCATCATTGCTCCCCCGCTCCCTTTTCTGATCCCT